GATTTTTGAAAAATTTAGAGTGACCTCTTAAAAATTTTTTTTTGAACTGTCCTTTGGTGAGGGCTCTTAAAACATCAAAAACTAACATTTTTTCACTCGAGACTAAAAAAAAAAAAATAGTCGGTTTTTTTGCGCCACCCTAATATACACATATATATAATATATATAAATATATGAAAATTGATGTGGATACTCAAATGAAAGGTCTCGATAAGTGTAACATCAGGATGAGCTTATATCTTAAAAAATGTCAATAGTTCACAAGATACAAGGTGATTTCTTAATTACGTATCTAGAGATAGAGTATTTTCGAATTCAGCCTAAATTCTTATCATAATAAATTGACTATCAATGAGAATGATATGAAACCTTGAAAAGGCACAAATTCAAATCAAGACCTTTGCAACGACATTAAACTTTACTAAAAAAAACCGATTTTATCATATAACTATCCCGGACCCAAAATTTTTCTTATTCTCTTAATAATATAGATTATAGTTAAATAAAAATAAAATAGTTAAAAAAAATTCTTACAATGACTATGATAATCTCGAGATCTACTCGACGTAAAACTGTAGCGATTTTCCTTCTGGCTACTGTTTGTCGGTGGCTGATCAAGCTCCAAAGATCTCTTCTCTAGAATCTCCGTCACTCCTTTATTGTCAGCCTCAAGCTCCATTTTAAATTTGTGGAGCTCTTGATCCAACCTCCTAAGATATCTATCCACCAAATCGTACATCGAATTTGCTAAATTAACTTTTTCATCAGCATCCTCTAAAGTTTTGTAATATTCTTTCCTAATAGCTTCATACTCGGAGTCCTTCTCATTGGGTTTCATTTTTTTGGCATTACCGAAAAAGGTTTTTACTTTTTTCTCCAAACTGTCCATCGAATCTATCGAATCAACAAAGTTAACATTGACATAATCTATAATATACTCCAATCAATAATCATAAAGTCATATAAATTTATAAACATACTCTGAACACCTAGGTCCATTTCACGCATCTCCGTGAATCGGTCCCTCAGTTCCTGAGGCAAATGCTCAATCACTGAAATAGTTTATTAAAAAAAAACACCGTTATCACTATGAATCATCTCCAATTGTCAAGTACTTTTTTTATCAAATTCTTTACAGAAAAATTTTTTATTTCAAGGTAATTCTCAAGCTAACCTCAAATAAATAAAAATAAATAATTATTGACAACGAGGATTTTAAAAATTTATGATCATTTACAAAATAATTGGAAAATAATAAAAAGTTAGTGGATAGACATGTAACCTAACTTTTTTCGCACTTGATTATTTTGGTAATATTTGTGAAATATAAAATACATTTTTTTTTTTTAATTAGAAAATATAATTAAATAATTTTTCTTACTTTCAACATAATCTTCTAAGTAAAGCATTTTTGTGTTTTTTTAATTAATTTTCTTGTAATATCTAGGTTAAGTTGTTGCTGCACGACCAAAAACTTTAAGCTTTTATTTAGAAGTGTAGTGTAGAGAGATGTGCGACGTTTATATATATATATATATATATATATATATATATATATATATATATATATATATATATA